CACCCCTCTCACACGAAAAGGGCGATTGTAAGAAACATGTCACGAACAGAAACTAACGTGTGCTCAGGAAGAGAGCAGGGAGAGGAGTCTTTGGAACTCGGTACGGCAAATAGCCATTTCCAATGGATACGAAACTGTAGCTCAGAAAAGGTGTAGAGGAAATCGTAGGCCTCCAAACGACAACTCTAGCGATAGAAGGGTCTCGTTTATCCTACCCTTCATCTCAAATGATATAAGTACAGCTATAAAACGCTGCTTAAGAAGGGCGGGCTTAGAGAATTCGGTGAGCGTAGTTGAAATACCACCGAGTAATCTTAAGCGCCGGCTAGTTCGTAACCGCCTATATGACCGTCTATGTGCAACTCAAAATTGCATAATTTGCCCCAGTGGTAGAGACGGTGATTGCATGAGCTCGGGTATAGTTTATCTGATCTCCTGTAAGACGTGTGGTGACGAATACATTAGCGAAACGGGTAGACCCCTCTGCGTCCGCATGAAAGAACACCTAGCCGGCAAAAATAGACCAAATACCCCGCTAGGCACGCATAGGACCCAGAGACATAACGGGGACGACTTCGAAGTATGTGTCACGATCCTCGCACGCGAATCGAGAACACAGGCGCGAAAAACCCTCGAGGCACTCTGGATTAATTCCAGAAATCCGAAAATGAACCGCAGGGAAGAATGCCTCATTATCACGCGTGATATAGGGCAGTATATAAAACTGCTTTTCTGATGTGAGGGGCACATTATACTTCCACGTGATTTCTGTGCGGTTGGTCTCTACGTGACATACTTAGTGGAGAAAGCGGTGGGTGTGCAAAGCTGTGTTCAAAGTGATTGAAATCTTGGTTTGGAGTTTCTTTGTTTGGTTATGGAGGCGTCTGGCCGAGTGAGTTGCTATCAACTTGACCTTTCCAGGCTCTGAAGAAGGCGAAATTCGCCGAAACGTCAGCTTAATCGTGAACAAAGAATAGTAACACCTCGCGTTTGCTCAACAAAAATACGAAGAAAATCACGCAATAAAAAGAATTGTTTGTGATATGTAGGTAGGTACGAACGAATAACGAAATTCATACGGCAGCATGTTGATTTGGGCTGAGACGAGCTAAGAGACACATTCTGAAGCTAAATTTTCATTGAAAGATGCTTGTCATGGTTGCCATTTAGTAGAAAGAAGAAGTTCTTCACCACAAATGGACGAAGCCCTTTATGACAGAGTATTACTGATGAGGAAACGACAAAATATACCAAGAACTGCGACGTCTGAAGTCGGGATTATTCAGTTCCAAGAGATCAAATCTATTGCAAGGCAACACCTAACTTCAGATCTCATAATCAACGTTGAAAATTCGCAGACGTTAAGATGGGCGACTCTTTCCTATCGTGTTCAGATTAACGCTTAACTAGACGCTGCTAATTTTTAAAGCACTTCAAGAGACTTTTACTGGTTACGGAATAATATGTGAACTTATATGTCGTCGAAAAGCCTGCGGGGATATCTTTTATCCTTTTTCACACCAATTAGCAAAATATATGAAAGCGAGAAATGCAGTGGTTAGAGATTCCCTTCAATTCATGAATGGTTAGTGATTCGATACACTCCGAGCAAATCAAACCCATCATCTCAATCGAGCTGGAGAATTGACTTTAAATGTGTAAAATGAGAGAAGCACTGCATAATTTGTTGATTCAGGTCATGTAAATAAAGAAATAATGCCGAAATTTACTCCGAACTGAGATAAATACATTTGAGTTTGAAGGTTCAAAGTGAAGGTAATTTTCTTGACTGCCAAGTGTAGCAAGAAGCAAAAAAGATTTGACCTGATTGAGAGGTCTTGGAGCTGATTGAAGAACCCTAGCTTTAATCTTAGTATTAGCTGAGACTGGCGCTTTGCAACGGGTAATTCCTATCGTGGAGAACAACATCCAGATGTACGTTCCATTTGCCACCTGAGGACACTGATGGGCTACTGCAAATCTTGGAGGGCTCACTTTGTATGAATTTAGATTTCCTGCATGACTGATTTTCTTGCGTCAACAGTGTAGTAGCGTAGTGCATATATTGTAAAGAAAATGGAAAAATATGTCAGTTTTTACAGGGCTGTGAGAACATTTTGAAACAAGGTCGACGAATCGGTAGGGGTCAAATTCACACCGTTCAGATCGACATCACCAATGACCAAAGTGTCATGAATGCACGAGCTAAGGTCGAAAAGGTCCTAAATGACCAGGTCAGTAAAGAAAAATAATTATGACTATATGAAAGCTTCTATGTCACCATTTTTTGTGCCAAATATTTTCTTTCCAAGTTTTACTAATTTCTCTTTTAATTTTAACAATTTTCTCTTAACTCATTGGTTATACCTCCTAATGGTTTACCGCCTCATAGTGGCTGGGAGGTCTTCCTGGGTGTCGGGCTGTGATGTACAACGGAGAATTAATTACCCCAGTGAGGTTTTCCAAGCTGAGAAGGAGTCCGGCCTTTCCATAAGGAAGCCCACCTAGGAGTAATCCAGTACTAGGATCCACCACCGTCCTGGTATCAAGCTAGTCGCATAGTGGTAAATCCCTCTCTAAGGCAATGGCGGCAATTGCCTGTGGTAGTGACGACCTGGCACAGACTTTGGCTAGGCTGTCCTTGGGACACTAGGAAACCGCAATTACTAAACCAGCACGTTTCCAGAGAATGGACATTGTACTGGGGTCCGCACAACCAGTGAACGCGGGCCGTCCAAATATCCAAGAATGAATAATCAATGTACTTTCGTTCAGTGATACGGTAACCGGAGGTTGTTACCAAATATTTATGCCGCTCTTTCGACGTTTTCGTCTTCCTCAGAGCCGGCGATCTGAGTCGACGGTCCACATTCGTTTGTCATCGCGAAGTGGTGTCTTTGTCGTGGCCTCTAGTCGATTCTTCTCTAGTGGAGCACCGCTCCAATGACAGCAATGCTCTTTTTATACAGGGCTGTTGTTGACGACACTAATTGCCCACGGACAATAATTTGTTTTTCAGCGACCAGTTTACCTCTCACTAGCACTCCTCGGGTGTTCATAGCTCTGAATTGGAGGCCGTCATCAATCGTGGGTGTGAGCTCCTCCCAACAGTTTACCGCCTATATTATATTATGCCAACCTCGCGTCAGCTTAAGAAGATCAGTTTATAAGATCACATAAATAAATATATCAACTATCTATGCTGGGGTTTATAGAAAGTCGGTCTTTCGAGTTTACCGCCTCATCGTGGCTGGAAGGTGTTCCTGGGTGTCGGACTGTGATGTACAGCGGGTGGATTCGTCCCCCGACAGGGTCTCCCAAGCTGAGAAGGAGTCCGGCGTTTCCATCAGGAAGCCTAGCTAAGAGTAAACCAATACCAGAATCCGCCACCGTCCTGGTATCAAAGTAGCATGGTGGCAAATCTCGCTCTGATCCACAAGGGTTGCGACTGCCTGTCGTGATGGCGACCTGGGGCAGACTTTGGCTAGGCTGACCTCGGAATTCCAGGAAACTACAATGGCTTAACCAGCAAATCTCCTATAAATGGTGATTATGCTGAGGCCGGCACAATCAGTGAGGACGAGTCTTTCAAATGTCAAGTGTCAAGGGGGTGAGTTAGGCTTACATCCTTATGGCTCCATTTACGATTCGTCCAGATCAGTATCATTCCCTGCTATTACGCAATCTACTGATCTAGGCTGGTATGAAAAGCCAAATCCTTCTTAATCATTAACATTTATCGCAATGGAAATCCGTGTTGAGCTACTATTGAGGTATTAAATGAAGACAAGGAACTTACATTCAAGGGAAACGCGCTGAATAACTTTACTTCTTGAACTGAACAGCCTTACTAAATCATTGATTCAAACAGAATCAAAGGTATTTTGTGCCTTCATGTATACAATTGCTAGAAGTTATTCTTCCGAAGTATTTTCAGAACGCACATCTTCATGGAATTGTAAACAACGCCGGTGTGTTCGCAACTTTTGGACCAGACGACTGGTGTTCAACGGAAGAATACTTGGCGTCACTGAACGTGAACACTTTGGGGGCGATTCGAGTCTGTCATAACTTTTTGCCGTTGGTAAAAAAATGTAAGGTAGGTGGTGAAATCAATCATTAACGAGCCAAATATGAATCTTATTTAGTCGTATTCAATATGAGACGAATGTCATTGTTCAGTTCTAACCAGAATTAACTGGATCTCACGAATTCTTTCGTACAGATTGACGAAATTTTGTTTGAAAGGATTTTTCCACTTTTACTGAGGTGTTTTATTGTAATGTTTTCAATCCATGCCACAGATTGTCTGAAAACCGTTACTTGACTACATATGACATCACATAGTAGGATACTCGCTTGGTTAGTTGGAGAGCTCGTCTTCACTGATTGTGCGGCTCCAGCATAATCTCCAATGTTCGGAGTTCTCCTGCTTTAGCTATCGTGGTCCTGTGGAGTCCCGAGGCCAACCTAGCCAAGGTCTACTCCAGGTCGTCACCACTACAGGTAGTCGCCGCCCTTGTGGATCAGGAGATTTGCCACCACGCAACTAGTTTGGTACCAGAATAGTGACGAATCTTGGTATTGGTTCAGCCTTAGCTGGGCTTTCTAATGGAAACCCAGACTTCTTAGCTTGGGAGACCTTGCCAGTGAATGAATCCACCTTCCCGCTGTACACCGCAGCCCGACACCCAGTAGCACCTCTCAGCCACGATGAATGGTAAACTTTAGAAGGCATATAGTACGGTAGCAATTTAAAAGTACAACTGGATAGTTCTTGTATACTCACAAGTTTGGGCCTTCAACAAATATTTGGTCAGACGGATTTTTGCACTTTAACATCAACCTTCCATATGTTACATACTTTCTTAGAAAACTTGATAGGTCGGTGTTAATCACTTTCCGGCGCTTTATGCAAATATTTTATGTGATAGTTCCCAGGATCGACTTTCTCTTAACCTCGGCATTGGAATATGAATGTGTCGTTTTCTTGTTCAGCAATCGCGAGGTTTTTAAACAGCATACATTTACTTCACGAAAAAGCTGTGGGTTTTTCGAGAAGTTGTTGATCATGTAATTACCAAAGAGTCTTTCGTCTTTGTTTAAAAACCTCGCGATTGCTGAACAAGAAAACGACACATTCATATTTTATGTGATTTCATGTTTTACAAAATCTTATGAAAAGCGAACAACGTCGCTTTTTGTTATTAAGATATTGATGAGTTTCTGAAACCCATGAATTCCTCTTTTTGGGATTTAGTTGCCAAGCTTCGAAGGGATTGAACACCTGAGATCTCATCCAACTAGAAAGGGGGACGTTCCCAAATGTGTCGTTGTCGTTCACAGCTAGCTAATTGTCTAGTTTCCTCATTTTAGTGTGCAAATTCTCAACTACTAAAGTTTTAAGAAGACCATAGATTGGTATCGAGAAACCATGCACCGTAGTCAATATACTCAGTAATATCACATAAAATCCACTCTTTGTTTCTAGAACTCCTTCTCGGTGGTTATACTTAGTTGCAAAACAACAGTCACCATCTTGTCATCAATATTCTTGTTAGTGAAATACAACCGTAACGATGCGAAATATTTGCAAAACTCCAGACCGCAGGCTCTACGGTGGGGAACGAACGTGCTATTACCCTTTCCTAGGGCTAAGACGTTCACCACCGCACCATGCGGGTCCTTCGTGTCCCTGTCTCTCAACTAGTTCTATCAATCTTTTTTTGAAATCAGCAATCACCCGTGATCGATAGAATTAGCTGAGAGACAGCCCAAAGGAAGGACCCGCATGGCGTGCTGGTGAACGCGTTAGCCCTCGGAAAGGTTAATAGCAGGCTCGTTCCCCAACTCGGAGCCTGCGGTCCGGAGTTTTGCAAATATTTCGCATCGTTACGGTTGTATTTCACTTAGTACCCTACGATAAAAAATTGTAATAGACAGCAAGTAAAAAGTCAACATTTTTTTAATACTAGTGTAGGTAGTATAAAAAAAGAATAAAGCTCTTGGCTTTAATCAATCCCTGAGGGATGCTCCATGCATTCGAATTCATTAAGCACCGTTGGAGGCGACTGAATCCATATCTGGCCTTTGAAATGGCTCGCAGTGGTCTACCGATGTATCGAGCCATCGCTGCTATCCTCCCAGACAAGTCTGGTACCGATTTGCCGACCCCGAAGTAATGGAAGGCTTGGTGGGCCATGAGCGCGTGGATCGATTCCACGTGTCTATCGCAGTGGCGCCTTCAACGCCACAGGCGCCTTTCTATTAGTATTAATAGAAGGGGTAATTCTTGGCATTTGACACATACTGATAACACCGTTTATGTATGTTTTTATGTTACGTTTTATGTATGTCTTTATGTTATGTTTTATCGGGTTTAGACTATACTCTCGTAATTCCAATATTAATGCGTAGTCTTCAAAGAAAAAGCAGGGATAAGGGGGTCTTCGTCATTTTTTAACTTCACTTTTGAAGTTTTCCAGTGAGGGCCAGTTAATGGAAAATTCTCGCTGGTTGAAAATCATTTTACTTTTCCCCAAAGCATTGATAATCATAAGTTTCAACCGAGTTATCATTCCTTCAAACCGACGAATATTAGACAAAGCGGCATCGATGGTGACGAATCGCATGGTTTTTGTACAACTCCGTAACTTCAAGGATGCTATCGATCATATTGAATTCGTCTCGGAACTCTAGTTGTCCGACTATGGATTCCGATCAAGAACTTGTTTGTTACGGAGAGCAAATGAATGCGCACACAATAGTTGTTGTTGTTCTCAAAGTAATAGTCATAGATGGGTATTTTATTTCTATTATATAGTTCTAGAAAAAACCAGCAGGTTTGGACTAGAACTCAACGTACTTTACAGGTGGTCAGGTTCGATCATCTCTACACGTTTTCGCAAAAAGCAAGGCAGTGCGGAATTCGGATGGTACAATGTGAATGACGATGCTTAATGCCACACGTTTGCTTTATACTAGATCCTCTAAGATATCGGAACAGTTTTTACACCAAACCGTCGAAAATAAGGTGGACTCGACACGTAATGCGTATGAACGACAACCAGTGGGCAAGGGCTGTTAGTGACTGGATTCCTAGAGATATCAAACGCACAGTAAGAAGACCACCAGCCCAATGGTCAGAGTTCTTCACGAATCCTCTAGAAGAAAGATATAATGCTCAACGAATCCATATAGCGAGCAGGCGCCCGCTCGAGTCACTCGACAATCAAAGGGACGACAGGTGATCCAGGTGATTGGGACGAGTCATTGTCTCTTTTTAGCTTCCCACTACTTCGTCATCTTCGAGAGTTTAGTATAAGGTAAACCATAAGTATAAGCGAAAATTGACCATCTTTTCTTGGTGAACCTTGCTCAACTTCATAACTCAGGTACTGGTTGCCTTTGATATGAAGTCGGTACGTCGCCGTGCTCAACAGTAGCATATTAGAATTCTTTTGGGTGAGCAAAATAGGTCAATTTAATTTCAAAGGCAACAATGACAATAACGTTCCCAGTAATAGTAAAGAACTAAAGTGAAACCACAAGTTCGCTAGCTGATCGCCACCTGAGGAAGTGCTATTTAAGGTTGAAGAGAATCGAAAATGGTATACAGAAATAAAGAACAAAACGATAACAGAATGAGAAACTGCCTCACTCGAAAATTTATTCGAAACAGTCCAATCGCAGTCAGAGCTTATTCAATCGATTTGTAGATACATATGGAACAGTATGTTTTCTTGATGGAAACGTTTTATGAGAACTGTTGTACTCCAGTGACTTTGAAACTATTAACCAATTCAATTTAACCTTACCGGGTTACTACGAAGGATTTCTGCAGCAAATCGTTGGCTTGATTACGATCTAATAGCTGTGGCGACCTAATTAGGCAAACTTGGAAGTTCTTCCAGAGAACTTCATTACATCGATGATTTTCTTCGAGAAGTTTCGAGCAACCTCTCTCTTGGAAGAACTTTCACTCTAAGGAAATCTCTCTCTTTATGTTTAAGGGCAGAGTAGTAACTATGGGTTCAACGGCTGGTCGTCTACATGGTCTTTATGTTGGCCCGTATGTGACTGCAAAATTCGCTGTAGAAGCTTATATGGACTGCCTTCGACTGGAGATGAGGCCATTCGGAGTTTCCGTGCACATACTTGAACCTGGTGCTTTCAAGACTGACCTTTTGAGTGAGGAAGCTCAACACGCTCGAGTCAATAAGGTAGGACTGTTTTCCTTTTTATCATATTAAACAAAACGAAACGACACTTTTTTTACAGATTTGGGAGAAAGTTCCATCAGTCGTGAAAAACGAATATGGCGAACAGTTCAAAGAAAACTGTGAGTTCTTGTTTCTTTGGTCTGTACAAATAAAAACTATGAATGAACAATGGCCAGCGTATTTGCCCAGTAACACACTACTCTGTGGCTCGATCCTACTCGAAGAACGATCCTCTTGTTCTTTTGAGAACCGCTACTGAATTTCTGCACAAGGTCGACCACCCACTGGCTTCCTGTCGTCATTACCTTAAAGAACTTGCGAATTCACAAAAGAATGATTAAATGGCTATTGATGAGCCATGAACAACGAGAGTGAAACGCTTCAAATGGCGGACTTCATACTCATTCTTCATAAAATAAATTGATGCCTGCCCAATTACTTCCAATTTTGTGCGATGGTCATTTATAACTATCCCTACCTTACCGCCAGGCGCAATATGCACTGAAAAAGTTTTCGAAAAAGTTCATTTTGGTAAATTACTATGTGAAGAGAACGGCTTCCCATAAAGGGCTTCTACTCCAGCATCTACGTGGGATAGGCTATCGATTTCATGCAAAGAAATGTGGCAATTAAACCCGTACGAATACGCATTGAAATTTATGCATAAGGTTCACTTTATCCTCTTACTTATGTATTAGCATCAACCTGCACGGTCGTTTATTTTTTGAAGAAAACGTCAATTTTTCGGTGATTTCCACACCACCCTCTCAACGATAAACTTTTTCTTGTTATTCATGGCTCATATTTGGAATATTAAAACAGCAAACACCTAAGGCACAATTTTGCATAATTGCAAACTAATAAATTATCTATCGCACAATTTGAGTGTTACAGTTAAAGTGGCATGGCAGACCGGTGTGGACCTGGTTGCAAATCCGAATCTTCAATGGGTTGTCGACAATTATGTACACGCGCTATTCGGTTTTTGGCCAAGATTGAGGTGAGCTGAGGACAGGTAGGGTTATATCAGAAACAATCCACCTTCTATCCATCAATTGTAGTTACATTTTTTCACTTTAAGCCATTATGGCCAAGCCTTATGAATACACATCGATTGTAAAAGTTAGTATTGAAAACTCGGAAGTGTACCACCGTAACATGAACATTTTGCCTTGGTTATACTCTTAATATAGACGACAAGATTTCACCACTTCGAGCGGGACAACCGGCCACAAAAAGAGTTCAGCGACTCCGTCCGGAAGCCCACCTAAAGTTAAGAGCTATCAGATGAAAATAAAACATTCATAACATTTTACCTGAAATCCAGTGAATCATTTAATCTAATACCACACGCTGCTCGCAAAACTCCAGCGCTGGATTGAATAAGATTCCCTCCTTCTGATGAGAAATTCGTAATTCGTTTCCACTATCATCAAGAAGTTCTTTGCAAAGAGGCGACTGGAAGAAGGAAGATTCTACGGTGATACACTAGACACGGATAAAAACAAGCGATACCTGCTAAAAATCATTGCATTTAGATTAACAACAGCACAGAACATGAAGAAAACTACCGGAAACAGCTCAAAGAGAGCTAGTGTTATCACGTCAGCACTTGAATGAATATACTGCCGTAGTTTCGGTCTAACAAACTGCAATGGGATACCCACATGCTTCGTATATGATAAGATTTTATCGGGAATAGAGGAAGAGGGACATCAATTCAGCACAGCCGTCTGAAGTAACAGAGGACAAGTGCGAGGACGGAAAAGTAACACAGCCCTATATCGGCCTGCCCAGAAAAGCCGCCTTTCGACTGTTTTTCCCAAAACTATCAGCGTTCAGACTCATGGTTTACGAGAGACGAGTAGGAGGCGAAAAAGAGTTAATATGAAAACTAATGAAAAATGTAGGAAGTGATGTTGTTGGAACGGAGAACAAACACAAAAAATCGAAAGGGGAAACGGATTTTGAAAGGAAGAAATATAACCATTTCAAAGTTGCACGCTTTTCTAATTTCGTTTTTTTTTCTTTTCAGATATGCAGCGGGATGGGACGCTATATTTTGCTTCATACCACTCAGTCTGCTTCCAACATGGATACAGGTGCGGATTTATGCTAAATCGTGTTTTTAAGCCACTTGTTTCGATACAAGCAAGACAGATTTCCAATAAGATTTCCCACTTACGATACCGATACCCATAAGAGGAGAGGTTTGCTTGTTAGATCTTCGAGGGTTGGCCAGTCAACTAATCGCAGAAATCACTGACGTTATATGAATCAATATCATTTTGAAGGAATCCTCGAAGCAAAACAACAATCGCTGTCCATATTGTATAAAGGGCTGCAAATACAATTCAAGAAAACTCTTGCGAATGTACAAAAATTTGAAAGCTCTCAAGGCTGGAATGTTACCTAGTTAGAACAATGTCTCTTCAGTACACTGCTTGTGAGAAAGAGCTTGATTTGCATAAGGACAAGGATAGAGCTGTCGGCATTGATCAATCCCTTAGGAAAGGTGCCTAGGCATACGACTTCATTAAGCAAGGTTAGAGATGATTGAATGCATATCTAGCTTATACATTGACTCACGATGACCTACTGTTTTATCGAGTCAGTGTTGCTGTCTTCACAGACAGGTCTGGTACCAATTCGCCTATTCCGAAGAGATGGTTTGCTGAGCCTGGAACGCGAAATCGATTCCATATGTATTGCTGGGCACCTTTAACCGCTGTGTTACACGCGCTCCATTGCATATGAATGCCAATAGTGGGCTTAAGAACTTATGACGAATTCTGATGTAGTGACAGAGAAAGGACAGTGTTTGAGAAATGAGAGACAGGCGAAACGATGGACCCGCATGGTGTGGTAGTGAACGCGTTACTCCCCGGAAAAGACAATAGCGCGTTCGTTCCCCACCGCAGACATCTGCGATCCAGAGTTTTGCAAATATCTCAGCATTGTAAAAGGACAGTGTCTTCATAGGAGGACAGCCAAAAAGCAATTCTTAGGTGGTATTTGAAATGAGCGAATCTATCGTATCATGATGAAAGTGTTCCTTAGAGAACCATCAGGTGCATACTCTACAATAATATATTCACGAATAGTACTAAAGTCTGCCTTATACCGTCGAATGTAGACGTGACTCAAGTAGCATAGGCTGAGGAACGTCATCGTACATCGACAAGGTAAACGTTAAAAGTTAGAACGTCCAAGGTCCATCAATCTGTGTGGGATCCACAATGTGTTTGACTCCATTCGTAGCATCGTAAAAATGATAGAATACATGTTTGACCTATGTAATTGCTTAAGGGGGTCTATCGATATGTCACGTCAGTGTTTCTATCCTCACAGACAAGTCTTGTATCAATTTGTCTGCCTGAGAATTATGAGGGGCCTAATTTGTCGGTGAGCGGAATCAAACCAGAGGTGACGTGTCCATGCCGAAGCCCTTATAATAACTGTGATTTAATAATCATCGTACATAACAGATGAAAATGGTCAATATGAAGCTCATGCACAGAAGTCACGAGCAAACTTCCCTACAGTTGTGCAATGTGAGAGAGAATATTCTGCATGAAGTAGTGAATAGTTTTTGTAAATACGGAATATAAGTCGACTACCGGCTATCTTATCACCCTCTCTTACCTTACCTCTCTTACAGGATACTGTTCTACATTTCATGTACTCTATGCAGCCTGGTCCACCGCTGTATCCTTCATCATTACGCAACAATGAGTATGTTTTCGATATCGCTTATACTAGCCTTTTTCCATAATTTTACTTATCCATCTATCGTATGTCATAGAGCCCAGCTCAAAATTCTTCTACTTTGAACAGGTTCAAATAGCCTTAAAATTTTCATGGCATTATTACTCGTGGGCGCATGTGGCGCAGTGGATGGTTGGGCCACTGCGACACGAACGTGGAATCGATTCCCGCGCCCATGGCCCACCAAGCCTTCCATGCCTCCGGAGTCGGAAAATTAGCACTAGACTAGTCTGGGAGGATAGCAGCACTGGCTCGATAAATCGGTGGGCCACTGCGAGTCATTGTAAAGGCCAGATACCCATTCAATCACCTTCAAACGATGCTTAATGAAGCCGAATGTATGACGCATCCCTCAGAGATTGATTAACGTCGAGAGCTCTATTTTTATATAATCTATTATTGGCTTGTCACTAGAAAAACTTTATAAATTATCGAACTAACTCATATCTACCACATTTATGCTATTTAAAATTTTATGTTACTTACGGAAGTTGTAATAGTCCGATTTTTTGTGCTCTTCATCAGTCTGTTCGCATTACTTCTTTTCCAGTCCTTTATAGAAATGAATAAGTAATGAATCTCTTGGGTCCCGAAACGCCATAGCCACTAATCGATTCCCATGTTTTGCACCACAACCACAAGTCTGATCGGGTGCGCATTTCAACAATTGATTTTCAGGAATCCTTAATATTGGATTCATGCTGTGTAGATTTCAATTGCTTTTAAATTGAAGTTACTGCTTAACAAATAACAGAGTGCATTTAACTACAACTGTAAGAATTCCAAGTTTTATCAGGGAAAGACCACTCCTTTCCGGAAGGTTTTCCTCATTATTCGAAAAAATCGCCCACATCGGTACTTCGTCGATCATCTTCGTTGCTGTCTACATAAAATCACTGCTTCCCTACGTGGTAGCACGTGTGGTCCCGACTAGAAATAACACTGTGTCAACGAATTGAAATAATACCGTGATTAATCTGTTAATGAAACTTTAGCTAGGCTATTTAGTTTAGTGGATGATAAGAGGAATCTTCGCATGGTGCACTTATGTGAAGCAGCAGCTTATCATTTTATAACTTCGTATCGAAATGTTTAAATTTCCATTTTATGCTTGATCAAAGTTCAGGAAAGATGTTTTAGTCTGCATAATTTCTCGTGTGATTTCCCTTTTCATTTATCCGTGTTTGTTGTATACCCTCATTACCGATTTATATTTATTATTATATTTATATTATTTACTCACTTGATGCTAGATGCTTGAGTGGCCCGTCCTCACTGGTTGTGTGAACCCCGCATAACCTCCATTTTTCGGAAAATTGCTGGTTCCATGGAATCTCGAGTCAGCCTGGCAAAAGTCTGTCCCAGGTCTTCACCACCACAGGCAGTCGCAGCCCTTGTGGATCAGAAAGAGATTTACCACTATGCGGTTTTGATACCAGGACGGTGGTGGATATTGGTTTACTCTTAGCTAGTCTTGCTAATGGAAACGCCGGACCCTTTTTTAGCTTGGAAAGCCTGTCAGGGGATGAATCCCCCGCACATCAAGGCCCAACACCCAGCAACACCTCCCAGCCACGATAGGGCGGTAAACCGTGGAGGGTTTCATATTATTTATTTATATTTTTATATTGTACAATAACTAATGCTTATATTGCAGCTCTCCCAGTACTCTCCTAATGTCTAGTTTCGAAATTGCAATCAGTTTGCTCGTGGTATTACTAACTTTTCGTTTTCCTTGAAAACATCCGTGTTCACACCGTCAGTATTGGAAATTTCTCTAGCAGTTATGTCCAAATATCCGAGCTTTATTTCTATTTTACTGCTGTCGTTTCTTTGTGCTAGTCCTTCCAATAGATAGCGGTTTTTCCTTATACGAAGCGATTTCAATCGTAATAGATACTTGTGATATCAGTATTGATGAGTAAAGTTGATTAATAAAGAAAACCTGTATGACTTTTTTGACCAAATTCATTAATTAAAACAAAAAGGGCAAAAGTAGTCCGTAATTACTCACGTGCTTCTAACAGCGCCGACATAATGGAGTTCTTCGACGCACGGCCGCTTATACTGGTCTCGAATGACTCCGCCGTACCTCGTACCATCCTCGTACTCCTCATGGAACACAAGGAGCAATAAAGTTTGACTGCTCGATTCAGCAGCTGTACCTAAGCTGCTAAATTTGTAGATGATCCGGAAAATATCACCCACAAATGAAATGGTTGCCAATGGGACGGCG